TGGGGTGGGGCAGGAGGTGGGGCTGATGGAGAGGCAGGGGGAGATGGGGCTGGAGGTGCTATCCCTCACCTACTGCCCAGTGCCTCTCCTTTCACCTGCAGCCATGGCTTGCCACCTTGTGAGCCAGGACGGGAAGCACGACCCCGTGCCCCTGCCTAACGGCATTGCCGTGGTGCTGGGCCGTGGCCCCGAGACCCGTGTGGCCGACAAGAAGTGCTCCCGGAAGCAAGGTGAGCCGGGCCCCCCCTCCCCCCAACCATTCCCTCTACTCTCCATGCACTGGGTGTAACTCTTCCCCCAACCCAGGTACAGCCCTCCCAAACCTGCTTGCTCCCCCATCCCAGAGCATCTTGTCTGGGGAGTGGCAGGGGGGCTAGGGTGTCTGGATTTGTCAGCATGGGGGTTGCTTGTTCTGATTCCCTCCTTGCTGTTTTCTTTTGCAGTGGAGCTGCTGGCTGACTACAAACAGCAGGCAGTGAGAGTCACTCAGGTAAAGGGTGAAGTCAGGCACAGGGGCCAAGAGGCAGGTTTGTAGAGGAGTTGTTTGTACAGGGACCCCATGCCTGACACTGAGATGCAGCTGGTTCCGGGTTGGAGTGTGTCTGGGACTACTTATGCAGAGTTCTCTTTCCTGGTGCTGAGATGCAGCTGGGTCTGGGTTGGGGCACATCAGGGATCTCTTACCCAGTACTGAGATGTACTTGCCTTTGGGGTAGAACATGTTAGGGCCTGGTTATACAGAGCGCCCTCTCCTGGTTCTGGGATGCGGCTGCCTTTGGAGTGAGCACCTTGAAAGCTGGTGCATCTTGCTTGGCACTAAGATGCAGCCATTTCTTGGATTGGGGCACGTGGTGGGCTATTTATACAGGGACCTTTCATTTGGTACTGAGTTGCAGCTGCCTTTGGGGTGGGGGCACCTTGAGGGATGGTTATTCAGTTATCCCTTGCTCAGTGCTGAATTGCAGGTCCCTCTGAGGTGGAACAAGTTGTGGGCTACTTATGTGGCCACCCCTCCCCTTGGGCTAAGATGCAGCCACCTCTTGGGTGGTCTCCCCTAATGCACCCCCCTTTGTTGCAGCTGGGTGTAAATCCCACCTCAGTGGACAACCAGGAGCTGGGGCAGGGCAAGAGCGCCACCCTGAGGGAGGGGCAGACACTGTGGCTGGTAAACCGCAGCTACCCCCATGGCCTGCGCTTCCTGGCCCTGGCCCACTCCCCCCGCAAGACCCTGCTGGACTTCTTCAGCTCCAAGCGCCAGCCCCAGCTAGAGGGGGACAAAGATGAGGATGAGGAGCATCCCCACAAGAGACTGAAGGCTCCCAGCCCCTCTGAGGAGGATGAGGAGGAGGATGATATTGTAGCCACCAAACTGCGTCAGCTGCAGGACACAGCTGCCCAGGCCCAGGGAGCAAAGAGTGGGGCTGCCCCCCAACCTTTGGGGGGGTCCTGGAGCCTGCCTCCCCACCCCCAGGACTCCTGGGAGCAACACAGCAAGCTGCTGGTATTCACTAAGGAGGGTGTCATGCCCAGCACCAAGGTACCCCCTGGTGGAAAGGGACAGGACACCTCTGGGAGCTGGGGGATTGGGGTTGTGGGGAGAGTGGTGAACTTCTCTGCTCCTCCCCAACTCCAGGCCCTTGATTCCCTGTCTCTGCAGGTCGCTGGGTTTGACCTGGATGGAACCATCATCACCACTCAGTCAGGAAAGGTTTTCCCTACCAGTCCGGATGACTGGAGGTAAGGACGGGTTGGGAGTGAGGGGCACCATGAAGCTGGTGGGGGGGAGGAGTTGAGGGCTGGGACTGCAGTGGGGGACCCCAACAGAGCTGGGGGAAGCCCAGGAGTGGGCTGGCTAGGGGCAGGTGTGGGGGGCATTAACAGGGTTTTGTGGGGCAGGAAGTCAGGGGCAGAGTGGGAGATGTTGACAGGGTTGTGTAGAATGAGATGGAGAAGGAACCTAGGAGTTCTGGGGAAGAGCCAGGCACTGGCAGGGCTGTGGGCAGGGGGCTGTGGGTCAGGAGCGAGGGACCCCAGCAGTTTCCAGCGTGTGAGGTCTTGGGATAACTCCTGTCTCTTCCCTCCCCCTCTCTCCACCCCACAAGGATCCTGTACCCTGAGGTCCCCCAGAAGCTGAAGCAACTGCAGAGAGAAGGCTATAAGGTATTCCCCCCCCACCTCGGCCCCTCCCCCCATTCCCTCCCCCAGCCTCTCCACTGACCCCCACATTACTGTCTCCCCAGATCATCATCTTCACCAACCAGCTGGGGATCAGCCGAGGCCGCCTGCGCCCCGAAGTCTTCAAGGCCAAAGCAGAGGCAGTGGTGGGGCAGCTGGGGCTGCCCATACAGGTGAGCAGGGCTGGGGTTGGAACCTGGGATGTGGGGGGTTGGGGGCTAGGGGGTTGGACCCTGTCTAGCTCCTGCCCCCCTAGTGCTCAAAGATGCCCCCAGTGCTGTGTGTAGTCCCTGATGGCCAGCTCTGAGATTTATAGATTCTAAGGCTAGAAGGGACCTCGGAAGATCATCGGGTCCAGCCCCCCTGCACCAAGCAGGACAGATGACTGGGGGTCAGGTGACCCCAGCAAGGTGACCATCCAGTCTCCTTGAAAATTTCCAGGGTAGATGATTGCACCACCTCTGACGGGAGATTATTACACAGTCTGGACACCCTGACTGTGAAGAGGTTTTTCCTAATGTTGAGCCTGAATCGGTCTTCCAGGAGCTTGTGGCCATTACTTCTAGTTTTCCCCTTGGTTGCCTTGGTGAACAGTTGCTCACCAAGCCCTAGATGTATTCTGCTAGTGTAGCAGTAAGCTGCTATCAGGTTCCCTTTCAGCCGCCTTTTCTTCAGGGTGAAGAGTCCCAGATCCCTCAGCCTTTCCTTGTATGGCTTGCCATGTAATACCCTGATCATACAGATGTCTCCTCTTTGGATTCTCTCAAGCTTGTCCATGTCTGTTGAAGTGTGGTACCCAGAACTGGACACAGTACTCCAGCTGCAGTTTAACCAGTGCTGAGTAGACTGGAAGAATCATCTCCTTGGTTTTGTTGGAGGTGCATCAATTGATGCATGCCAGAGTATTACTTGTGGCCATTACTTCTAGAGTATTATTTGCCCTACTGGCTACAGCATCACGCTGCCAGCTCATATTCATATTGTGGTCAGTTATTCCCCCCCAAGCCCCTTTCATTCGTGGTGCTAATCAGTTTGGTGCTGCCAAGTCTGTAGGTGTGTTGGGGGCTGCTCATCCCAAGGTGGAGCACTTTACATTTCTTGATGCTGAACTTCATCAGATTCCAATCTACCCAACTTGCTAGCCTGTCTAGGTCCGCCTGTATCTGTAGCCTATCTTCAAGCGTGACCACACTCCCCCATAACTTGGTGTCATCCACAAACTTGGCCAGTGAACTCTTCACCCCCACGTCCAAATTGTTAATAAAGATGTTAAAAAGTGCTGGACCAAGCACTGACCCCTGTGGGACACCACTGCCCACTTCTCAGCAGGAAGATAAGTTCACTACGACTCTCTGGGTCCTATCCTGCAGCCACTTTTTCACCCACCTGACTGTCTCAGAGTTAAGCTCATAACCAGGTTTTCTCACAAGGACATCGTGGGATATGAGATGAAAGGCCTTTTGGAAGTCTAGGTATACAATGTCAACCGGCTCTCTCGTGTCCAGGTGGTGAGTCACCTGGTCATAGAAGGAGATGAGGTTGGTAAGACAAGACCTGCCCGTGCTGAAACCATGCTGGCTGTCGTTTAGAATCTTCCCTTCTGCAAGCTTATCACAGATAGACTCCTTGATGAACTTTTCTAGGATTTTCCCTAGGATGGAAGTTGGGCTGATTGGCTTATAGTTACCCATGGCCTTCCTCCTGCCCTTCTTGTGGATAGGCACAACATTGGACCTCTTCCGGTCCTCAGGGACTTCAGAGCACCACGAGTTGTGGAAGAGTTTCACCAGGAATTCCACAGTGACTTCAGCCAGCTCCTTCAGCACTCTTGGATGAAGAGCATCCAGTCCCACTGACTTGTATATGTCTAATTTTTGTAATTAGTCATACACCGATTCTACGGCAGTAGTAGGAAGGCGATTATTCCTACCGTGCTCATCTTGTACTCCTACCTGGCATTTTTTCCCTTGGTCCTGTGAAAGACCGAGGCAAAGTAGTTATTCAGGAGTTCAGCTTTTTCCTGGATGCCAGTGACCAGCTCTCCTGAGTTGTTGAGCAATGGCCTCACACTCCCATTTGTCTTCCTCCTGTTCCCTATGTACCTAAAGAAGGACTTCTTGTTGTCCTTGATTCCCGTTGCTAATCAAAGTTCAGTTGTCGCTTTAGCCTTTCTTATCTGCTCGCTGCAAATGCAGGCCATTGTGGAATAGTCCTTCTTGAGGCCTGCACTGAGCTTCCATTGTTTATAAGTCTCTTTCTTAAGAGGACTGTGAGTTCCCTGTTTAGCCAAGAGGGCTTTCCAGCCCTTCTGTTACCTTTTCTCTGCATGGGAATGGACTTCCTTTGTGTTTCAAGGATCATGTCCTTAAGGGACAACCACTTTTCATGTGCACCTTTTGCCTTCGGTCCCTGGTCCCGCAGCACTTGGTGACCTAAGCTTGTTGGAATTTGCATTTGGACAGTGAACATGATGGTTTCATAGTTGTTGCCCAGACTTCCCTGTATATTTAAGTCAGTCACCAGGTTGTCTCCTTTGGCCAGGACCAAGTTTAGCACAGCATCATCTCTGGCTGGCCCACATACCTCCTGAGTCAGGAAGAGCTCCTTGACACAGTTCAGGAAAGATTGTAACCGATCCAACTTGGCTGAGTGTTCCTCCCAGGAGATGTCTGGATAATTAAAATTGGCTATGACTACCATGTCATGTGCATGTGTGGCCTCAATCAATTCTTGGGTGAACTCCAAATCGAGTTCCTCCCCCTGGTTTGGTGGTCTGTAGTATACACCTACAGTTAGGTCTCTCTCACCGCACCACCACAACTTAACCCAGAGAGTTTCTAGATGTTCATTTTTGGAGCTGTTGTCAGCCTCCAAAGAGGCATTTTCACATAGAAAACAATGCCGCCACCTTTCTTCCCCATCTGGTCCTAGTTGTGTGAGGATTCCCACCAGGTTTCCGTAATCCCTACAAGATCGTAATGCACACTAGGGAGTAGGAGGGCTAGCTCCTCCTGCTTGTTCCCCATGCTCCTGGCATTAGTATATAGGCACCTGAGATGGGCCGGCTTGGGGTGGGGGTGAGACTGCTCCTGTCTGTGTCCCTCACATCACACACGCACAAGCCACCCCCTTTCCTCTTTCAGGTGCTGGTTGCCACTGGTACTGGGATCTACCGGAAGCCTGTGCTGGGCATGTGGGACCATCTGTGCCAAAAGGTACCCAGGTGGGGGATGGCAGCAGGGGTTTATGGGATAGAGGGGTGTGCATGGAAGGGGATTGGGGGGGGATGTTAAGGATGTGGAGGGGGAGGGGCAGCAGAGGCTTGAAGGGTAGAGGGGATGTGGGCTGGTGGGGTTGGGGAAGAGGCAGTAGGGTGGGAGCTGGTAGGGTGGTGGGGTGGGGTAGGGTGGGGGGGGCAGGCAGGGTGTGTGGGGGGTGCTGGGAGAGTGGAGTGGATGAGGGGTTGGTAGGGCACTTACCCTTCTTACTACCCCTCCCCAGGCAAACGGGGGCCTGTCTGTATCCATACAGCACAGCCTGTATGTGGGAGGTGAGTGTGGGGGAAGGGGGCAGCCTCTTTCAGGTGTGGGATAGGGGGTAGGCCTCAGGGCTGGGTTTGGGAGAGCCCCTCCCCAGTCTGGGGACACAGAAGTGGTCTCCCCTCCCAGCCATAATGAGCTTGGGATGGGGGGTGGGTACTGGGGCCTGCGAGGGGGAAGCAGGAGGCTCTGCCTTCTGGGGTGGGAGGTGTGGGAGGCAGTCCAGGCTAGACTGTGAGGGTGGAGGGCATTGGGGAAGTTGGAGGAAAGTGACAGGTTACTCCAAAACCCTTCACCCTGGGAGCTGCTGGAGTCCCTCAACCCCGATCCATAGCGCCCTTGCCCCAAGTCCTGTTGTCGTGTCCGTGTCCGTGTCCGTGTCCGTGTCGTGTCCCCGGGTGCCTGGCTCTTACTCCAGAACTGGGTAACTTCCCCTCCTTACTCGATACACAGCCCTGCCAGTGTATCCTACTCTACTCCACCCCAGCTCCCTGCCCTCCAAAGCCCTTCTTGGGAATGGTAGGGCAGACACTGGTCTACACCATGGGGAAAGCAGCAGGGCTGGAGTGGGGGGTATCACCTCCTTGTCTCGCCCAGATGCAGCTGGACGCCCCCCAAACTGGGCCCCTGGGCACAAGAAGAAGGATTTCTCCTGCAGTGACCGCCTGGTATAAGACCTGCCTCCCCCAACCCCCCCACCCCACCCCACCCCAGTGACCCCCTGACACCGTCTCTCCCCCAGTTTGCCCTGAATGCAGCACTGCCATTCCATACCCCTGAGGAGTTCTTCCTGGGTTGGGCACCTGCCCCCTTCCAGCTGCCTGCCTTCGACCCGGTGAGTGCCCCACTTTGTCCCTGACTTATCCTCTGGCAGGGCCTGGCCATTTCCCACTGCCCCCCTTCAGCCCCATGAGTACCCCCTTCTGGTCCCAGGGTCCTGCTCCATTCCAGGGCTCTGCCTGCCCCTCTCTGCCCCTGAGGACCTTCCCTCCGGGGTCCTACCCAGTTGCCTGTGGGGCAGGCAGGGTCTTATGGGACGGGGAGGGAGGGAGGGGTGTGGAATAGGTGGAGATTGAGGGGGTTGGAGAAGGGCAGCAGGGCATGAGGGATGTTACACCCCTAACAACAAACTGCCCCCTGCCTCAACAAACTCTCCCAAGGAGCACTCTCTCCCCACCTCCCAGGCATCCCTTCCCTGCTGCTTAACACTCAAGATGTCCCCTGCCTGGGCTTGGAGCACCCCCACCCCCCTGGCTGAGCCCCTTAAAAAAGGCCTCTTCTGGGGAGGGATGTGAGAGGGGCTGGGGCAGGTGCGGTGTCTCTAACATCCCCTCTCTTTCCCCTCTCCCCCTACAGCGGCACCTGGATCCTGATGGGCCCCTTTATGACCCACCCAACGCCCTCCTGGTATGGCCTACGCCCGAGCTGGTGGTGGCTGTTGGCTTCCCTGCAGGTTAGTCTGGTTCCTCATGGCAGAGGCTCTCCAGCTCCCACAAGCCCTGTGCTGCCATGATCCCATTGGCCAGCCCCGAGTTTCCCCTCTGCCCCCACCCCCAGCACTAACCCCATCTCTTCCCCCTGCAGCTGGCAAGTCAACCTTCCTGAAACGTCACCTAGTGCCTGCTGGCTATGCGTACGCCAACCGGGTAAGGAGGATGCACAGTGAGGGGGACAGGACTCCGTCTCCCTCATGTGGTGCGGGTCTGAGTCCTTCTCGCCTCCCCTCCTCTCCCCCAGGATACACTGGGCTCCTGGCAGAAGTGTTTGGCAGCCTGCACAGCAGCACTGCGCCAGGGCAAGAGCGCAGCCGTGGACAACACCAACCCAGACCTGGAGTCACGTCGCAGGTTGGGCTGGAGGGAGAGAGGGAGGGAGACACTGAGACTGGGAGTGCAGGCTTGAGACCATGGGTGGATCTGGGACTTTGAAAAGTGGGGTGCAGATGCTGAGAGGTCCCATCACATATAACACAGCAGGTATTTTTCTCCAGTTAAAAATAAACTAGAAGCTTCCCTAACATCGTGGGGGCCCAGGGCTGTATTATTTCATTTAGGATTGAAGCAGAAGCAAATACAACTTCATTGCAAAAAGTTAAAAACAATCTGCTGGGCTGTGAAATAGGAACTTCATCACCAGGAGCAGTGAACACACAATGGCATTGGAGAACAAAAGGCAGCCTGATTGGTGGAGCATCAAGACCATTTAAAATATAGAGAGGGTCGTTAACACCTATGGAATGAAGGGTTCAGAAGGGATAAGGAAGATGATTATGAGCCATGAAGTCAATTGACTTCTGCAGCGCTGCCTGGCTGGAAATGCTGCTGCCACTACCCCACAGTTGGTTTTAAATTTTGGGTGGAGCAGAAATCAAAGGCAGTGCAACCAGTGCCCTCCACCCCTGCTGTAGACCAGTGAGAGCTCAGGAAAGGGTTGATATGGATGATAACATGTTTCTTTTGTGTCCTGTTTAAGCAGGAATCAGAATCATAGTGAAGTCAGGCTGGAAGGGACCCCCAAAAGTCATTTATAGGGATCTTAGTTGTCTACAAGAAAAAAAGAAAGCAGAAAATTTCCGTTTAAAAAAAACGTGCACATCCTTGTTTTTCTGCAATTTTCTATGGTGAGTGGACAACTAGGATCCCATGTCAGTACAAAAAGGAAGGATCAAAGACTTCCCTCCAGAGGGCAGTTTTAGTCTCAAAACCCTCAGTTCTTAGTCCTGCTTTGCTTGTACATAGCTTAAATTAGAACCAGCCTCATCAACTACTGCTTTCCACTTGGGGGTGTTCATTGCCCTGGAGTGATTCGTTAGGTATGGGGATTTCCACCTTTTTTGGTTGGTGTACCCCTGGCAGCCAGTCGAGAAGCAGGGAGTACCCAGTCGATGAGCCTGGGGGGTCCCCTGTGTGCAGCAGTGAAACCAGAAGTGCCCCCGCTTCTCCACACTGCTGCCGTGTACCCCTGGGGCCTTGCCAAGTACCCCCAGGGGCATGCATACCCCTGGTTGACAACCCCTGCATTAGGTAAATAATCCCACTGTAAAATAGAGACATAACTGCTTGGATCGTTGTACCTGAGGAGTAGCATCCATGGCTCAGTGTCTGGTTGGGAGGAGACATCAAGTGCTGTTCCTTGACTGAGGGAGTCAACTGACTTCATAGTTCAATCTCCCTGATCTCTTCTACACTCTTCATTGCACAGCTGTTAACAACTTTCTCTTTTTAATGGTCTTGATGTTCCACTAGTCAAGGCTCTCCTAGGGTCTTATCTTTTAAGGTGGGTCACGTGGCTTGGGGCTGGTCAAACAGGGTGCTAGGCATATCCTGCAGTGCACTTCTGTCTTCAGGGCGTGTGCACATTGGCAATGTCAATCTGGATCATTAATGAATGATTTGAATTAGAGGATGAAGTGCATCTTGCTCAAGTTGGGTGGAGGTGCAGATATTCTAGAGACTAGGACGGGTCTAGAATGAATGGAAATGGGTTTTTCTCTGTGGCCATAGGCGACAGGACTAGGAGCAATGGCCTCAAGCTGCAGCAGGGGAAATTTAGGTTGGAGATGAGGAACTTCCTGATTATCAGGGTGGTCCAGCATTGGGACAGACTGCCTAGGGAAACTGTGGGAGCTCCATCCTTGGAAGTTTTCAAGAGCAGGGTGGGCAGACACTTGGCCGGGATGGTTTTAAGTCAAGGATTATCCTGTCTTGAGCAGACGGCTGGACTAGATGTTACTTTGTGAGGTTCCCTTCAGCCTGACTTTACTATAATCCTAGGAATGGAGTGCCCCTTGCAAATCAAGTGACACTTCCATCTTTTCAGCACTGGGGAGGCCTTCCTTGGAGCACTGGGTCCTGTTTGGGGCCCTGCACTTCAAGATGTGGGTGGATTTGAAAGATCCCAGCAGAGCACAACAAAAAAGATCAGAGACCTGGGAAGCAGGATTTACAAGGCTGAAAGAGCTGAGACTGTTTAACCCGGAGAAGACTTAAGGCAATTGCAGAGAGAACAGAGATGGATTTTTCTTTGTGGCTGCAGGGAACAGGACAGGACTAGGAGCAATAGCCTTGAGCTGCAGCAGAGGAAATTGAGGTTGGAGATGAGGAGGAACTTCCTGACTGAGGGTGGTCAAGCATTGGGACAAGCTGTTTAGAAAAGCTGGGATCTCCATCCTTGGGAGTTTTGAAGAGCAGGTTGGACAGACACTTGGCTGGGATGGTGTAGTCAGGGATGATGCTGCCCTGAGCAGGACTGGACTAGCTGTGACCTTGTGAGGTCCCTTCCAGCCCAACTGCTTTGTGACCTTGGGGATGGGGGGACCTAGGAGAGGTTCTCCAGTCCCCCTCTCCCCTTGTGAATCTCTCCCCACTTCCCTAACCAGGTACATTGAATGTGCCCAGGATGCCGGGGTTCCCTGCCGCTGCTTCCTCTTCATGGCCACCTTGGAGCAGGCCAAACACAACAACAGGGTGAGTGAGGACCCCCCAGAGTGGGGAAGCCACTGCCTCACCCCTGCCCTGGGTCCAGATCAGGGCCAGTGCCCTATGGAAGGGAAAGGTCTCATCCCCCACTGACCAGAGCTATCTGTCCTTTCAGTTCCGGGACATGACAGAAACAGGGCATGTCTCTGTCACCGATGTTGTCCTCAACACCTACAAGTGAGTGCTGGGGAAGGGGGCACTCCATAGGGGGCAAGGGAGAGTTCTCCCTGCCTGTAGGCAAGTTTGTAGTGCCAGGAGCAGAGACCGTACCTTAGGGGAGAAGCTCGCACAATGTGGGGTGGGGAGGGCAGGCAGAGGCAGAGTAATCCTGAATGCAACAGGGCTACTGCTAGGGGGAGGGGAGACCCTACCTAGGGGAAGCTCACAGCACCGAGCCCCTCCTCTCCCCTAGGAGCAAGTTCGTGGCGCCAGCACTGAGCGAGGGCTTCTCCCAGATCCTGCAGGTGCACTTTGTACCGCGTTTCCCTGATGCCCGCCTGGCTGCACTGTACCGCCAGTTCTCTGACGGCTGAGCCCCAACCTGGCCTGGCTTGCCTTGCCCTGCCCTGCCCCCGCATTGACCCCTATCCCTGATCCAGTGTCCCCTGCTGGTCAGGATGGCACTGTGCCACAGCTGGGGGCTTTTACTGTTTAAGACGCTAATAAAGAGATACAAGAGACCTCGGCCTTGGTGCTTTTACCCCAGGTGGGGCCCCAGGAGTAGGGGTTTTCCCTGCTAGGGGGCACTAGCCACCTCAGGGGGGGAGGGGCACAGAGTCTTTCCCCTCTAGGGTCACTGTGCCCAAACCCAGGTGTTTTGGCCTCTAACTGCCCAATGGGGGTGCCCAGACACCTGGGTTCTTTTCCTAGCGGGGGAGGGGGCACTCGTAGGAAGGTGCTGAAGCAGGTAGTATGATCTACTGGGGCTGTGCTGGGGGGGCATTGCCAAGGACCAGGCATATCCATGCTCGGTAGTGCCCCGTGCCCTTCAGCACTGGTTTGGTAGTTTGGGGTATCCAACCTCCTGACCCCAGACCACAGCTTGCAGATGGCTGGGCAGGGGCTCAAAGCTTGGTCCTCACCGGGGCTGGGGTGAAGGCTGTGGCCCTTGGGCCACACCAGGACAGGGCAAGGATGGGGGAAATCTGCCCTTTGTTTTGTACATACCCTTCCTTATCAGGCCTCTGGTCATCTTCAGAGGCACTGCATGAGCTGAGCTACTCATGGATTATGGGAAGGTCCTGGAGGACCAGCAGGGTCTGTGCACACTCACTAAGCTTAACCTTGGGCCCCTGGCAAGCCCCAATAGGTCCGTGCTCCACTAGGGGGTCCATGCAGCAGTACATTCACACCCCTACTTTACTTTAATCCAAATTAAGCTGCCTTGAGTAAATGTGGCTGGGAGTTCTTGGTTGCCCCACACTGAGTGCTCAATGGGGTAGGGTGAAACGTGAAGGCTTCTGCTGCCAGGAGCTGCCCACAGCCCCATGTCACACAAGGATTCCTGTCACGTGGACTCTCCCTTTCATCAGCTGCACAAGGGCTAGTGTTGCATGAGGACTCTGGTCCCCATCAGCTGTGTGTGGCCCCATTTGCACAAATACCCACTTACCTCCATGAGCTACCCAGAGCTACTGCACTGGCCTCTGACCCAGCCCTTTGCATACAGTGGGTCCTGTGCCAATGGCACCCACTGCCAAGCCTGGGGTGAAGCCTGGCAGGGACACAAGTGGACTCTTCTCTCTGCTCAGTGCCTGCTAGCCATGGGGATCTGAGCAGCCACCCTCAACTTCAGGTAGAAGCTTCTGCATGTGGCCAGGAGATGGATATGTGGGAGCCCTGGGCTGGGAGTGGGAGAGCATTGGGGCATGATGTGGGGCACTGGGGTCTCCCCATGATGGGCACCCCTGCCTTCCCCCTTACCAGTGACCCAGTCACATGGTGGTGCCCTACCCTTCTCCAGGACTCCAGTGATTTAACCAGGCAAGCTCCTGTCCCCACAGGCTAGCTCTCAGGATCTAATCAGGGGATGCCTTACCTACCCCGTGACCTAATCTGCCCCTGGGAGACCATCACAGCCTGCCTACACCCCCACAGCAAAGGGCCAGGGGTTAGAGAAGGTCATCTGCTGGGAGGGAAGTGATTGGGCTTGGCCTGGGTAGGTGGGGGGGGGCCCTACAGGTGGACAGCATGAAGCCCCTAGGACTGCAGGGGGGGGAAAAGAAGAGGGGTCAGTCTCAGCATGGGTGGGGGGGGATTTCTGCTAGAAGGGTATAGATATGGGAGAGCAGTAGGTGTGTTACAAACTCCCAGCTGGGTCAAACCCATGGATCCTAGTCCCCAAACACCAGACTCCCCTTACCCAGCCAGGAGAGAACCAGGTGTCCCATCTTCCCCTGTTGTATCCCCCACAGCCAAAAGAAGAACCCATCCTTTTCTCCCCTCCCCCACCTCGCTCTAAACTCCCAGTCAGGAGAATCCAGGCATTCTGCCCCCTCCCCATTCCAGTGTCCAGCCAATCTTCTCCAAAAAAAAAAAAAAATTTTATTTTATCAAAAAACCCTATACTAATTGAAAAACAGGTGCCAAGGGCTGAGCTGAGGGGGAGTGAAGGCGGTCTGGGTCCATCAGGAGGTGTCCATGTTCTCCCCCTCTGCAAGAGAAGAGAAGGTTAGAATCCAAGGGGAAGGGGCTGGATTATGCCGTGTCCTCTCTCCCTATACCCCCTACCACTCCCTGACTCACTGAGCTCATTGAAGAGGAAGGCATCCTGATACTCCTTCATGTACTGGGTGGAGCGTGACTCGTCCAAGAAGAGGGAGTAGACACGCTTGATGTCCTCCACCTGAACCTCTGTACCCTGGGGGAGGAGCAGGGTAAGTGTCAGCTGTGGAGGGATCCTGTGCCAGGACCACCCCCCTGCAATCCAAATCCTCTCACTTGGCCTAGTCACCAGAGCCACAAGGGAGTTACCCACTCTGCCTTCTAGGGCTGGGAGGGAGCCCAGGTGTCCTGACTCCTTACCCCACCCCTTCTCCCAGAGCTGGGAGAGATCCCAGGAGTTGCAGCTCCCCTCCTTTGACCCCACTCCTTTCCCAGAACCCATGCATCCCCCTGCCAGAGCTCCAGAATTCACTGCCCTCCTAGAGCAGTGGAGAACCCAAGCATCCCAGCTCTCCTGCTGTAACCCTCCAGACCAAAGAGTCCACTCAGGACTAGGACAGAAGCCAGGAGTCTTGGCTCCCACCCTTTCTGCTCTAATCCCCCCAAGACCCCACTTCCTGCCCAGAGCTGCGAGAGCACCTAGGTTCCCAGCTCCATTCTAGTGGCCACCCCCTTCCTGGGGTGGGACCCAGGCATCTGGGCTGACCTTCCTCTTGCGGCACACAAGGTTGGCAGCGGTGATGAGCTGGATAGCATAGCGCAGCGAGGTCTCCAGTCCAATGCGAGTCAGCACCGTGTAGGCATCCTCGTTCATTTCCACGTCCTCCTCCTCACACCTGGGTGGGGGTCAGACACTGCTTGAGGGAACCTTGCAGTGCTGGCTGGTCTGTGGCAGCTCTTGTGGGCACTGTCCCCTCCTCCTGCCTTTCCCCCAAGCTGGGGTAGATTACAGTACCAGGACCCCTGGAGGGAAATGTGACTGGGGGGTGGGGCCACTGTTGGGCTGAAGGGCCCTGGGGGCAGCCT